TTTACCTCTTCTCCCTTTTTGTGGTTAAAAGGAGCAGATCTGCAGTGACAGCGTTTCTGCCACTGCCTGTCCTGTGTGCAGGATTCTGGTCTGATGAGCATCTCTCAGTAGTAGACACTGACAAGAGTCTTTGACAAGAGTCTTTGGTTCATTGTGAGCTGACTAGCTCATGCTTGTATTGCAAGAAGTTTGTTGTGGGAGATTGAAAGGTAAATCTGGCCTGAAAAAAATATATTTTTAATCTCCTAGTGAATTGCTATCTTATGCTTCTTGGAAACATCTTAGGCTTGGCTGCTTTTCTCAAACTCTTGTGCATGATTCTCTAGCAGGCTGTTAGGGTTTTTTTTTGTCACTGTCTTGGTTTATGTAGGATGGACACTTAGATGTCTATTTTTATCACTTTTTTGAGGTACCAGATATCCATAGAAATTATTTTTAATTCAATCTGTATTCAATCTGCTAGAATATATTGGTAGTTTTAGTGGCAGAAAAAAACAGGATTACTTAATTATTTATTACCACCCTCAGAAAGACCTCAGGTGGCATTTTTAAAATCATTAGTGARGTTGGCTTTAGACTCTTCCCCTATTCAATGTATTTGTGGCTGTTAAGAGATATGCTGAGAGAGTTGAGACTGCAGCAAAAACATTGTGTTTATGACTTAAACCACATCCTTTCATCAAAAATAGAATGAAATATTTGTACTTCCTTAGTATGTAGCTAAATGAGAGCAAATTAGCAAACGGTCAGTGCAGGCAGGATTAAAAGGAGAGTGGACTAGGAAGGCACCAGTATTGATAATTATTACTCTTCACCCTACCCTTGACTGGCTGCCTAAGTGCCTTTTGTGCTAGACCTGTTGCATCAAGAGCTGCATCTGTGGCTGTGCCTGCCAGAAGCTGTTCACAGTGATGTAGAAAAAATGCCTGGGTTCAGAGTGGAGGAGCATCTGTGCTTTAATAATGCTAGTTTTAGGTCAGATATTTTGGAGGCTATCAAAGCTCTGTTTATTTCCAAGAATAGTTTTAGATCCTTACACCAATCTGCAATGTTTTGTATGGTATGTGCCCCTGCACTTACTGTTCAGCTGATGTGTTGTTGCTCTGCATAACCGGGCTGGGATTGGTAGAGGAAATAGCAGTTCATCTCTGCCTGTACTTGCCTGAATTGTACATGATTCAGGTTTCCTGTGTATGGTTTCAGCACTGATGTGTGCAGAGTGAAAGAGTCATGATGGGACTCTTGCTTCRGATCAAAAATATTGACCTAAAGCTTATTTTTATGTCTTGTCTTAGCTTGTTTTGCAAGTTCTACTGTGTTTTATGGGAACTCTTGACTTTGTTGATTTCTTAGAGTGCAGGCAGAACGACAGTCACTCCCGTWTTTGTTTCTACTCTTATACAGAGAATATTCTTTTTTTYYCCCTCTACCTCTTTCCAGTTCACAATATTCATGGGAAAATCTGTAGACATGAAAGCTGAACTGAGAAGTTAATATATCCAATAAGATTGAAGGCTGGTTGCAGTTAGCTTGTGTAAAGATTTTGTTATCTGAAAATTATTGTGAAATTTTTGAAACTTTTACCTGACTAGTGGAGAATTAACAAGGTACATTACTCTCTGACATGAGAGTTGCCTGCAATGCTTTCAAAAACCTAAAAGAAATTACCTGGGCCCAGCCTGCGGTCTGGATGAACTGTGCTCCAAATGATGCCTCCAATCTTTCTCAAGAGTGTGGAAATGACACTATATGATGTTGTTAAAATCCACTGTTCACAATCTGTGTAAAAGAACAATAAGGTGATGTGTATAATGAGTTCTGGTGCTAATGGAGATGAGAATGAAACATCCCCATRGCTAAGAGAGTTGAGGAACGTCACCGTGCACAAGGCTGCCTGAGTGAGGCCTAAGGAGAGCCCGGCCCCTGCGGAAGGCCGGCTGAAGCTTTGCAACCTCTTGCTGCTAATGGGCGTTCTCAGCAAAACCTGTGGAGTCGTGATAAGCTGTGCCTGTAAAATTCCTCCYGGTGAAGAGATGCTGTGTGCCTTGAGACTCATTTGGGTCTTGGAGAAGAAAATTGCAGGGAACTTCCTTGAATTTCATCCTAATGACTGGCAAGATAGCGAAGCTGATAGTACTTTATCTGGGGGTGCAGAGGGCGAGAATGGCAGTAGTGGCAAAGAAAATCCTCCTTATTAAGAATCACTTATTCCCTGTAGTGCCTGCCCAGTATGCCCAATACCCCTGTATTCTGTATTCAGAGGAGTGCCCATGCATTTCAGGCTCTTATTTCGCTAATTTTTCCTAGCTGAGACTAGAGCTGAGAGAGCTATTGCAGTGGGTACCTTGCAGATTATTATTGCCTGCAACACTTTATCCTTTCTTGCAGCATGGGGATATATATATATATATATATATATGCCCCTCAAATATGTTTTTGTCCATTCTCTAGTGACCTTTGATTGTCTTTTGAGATGGACTTTTTAAAAAAAWTTATTTATCTTGAATAATTTCACAGATGTAGTGTAGAGGAGGAATCAAATGTTTCATCATGCTATTAGTTCTGCTAGGTTCTCAGAGTTGAGTGCAAGGAAGTTGAGCRAATGAGTAAAAGAAGAAAAAGGATAAATGCAGCCAAAACCATAGAATCATGAATTTGCAGCATGTGATATTTTGTAATTATTAGGACTTTTGGAGCCAGTGTGGCACTACTCTGAAGATAAAGTGAAATTTAAGTACATTTGCATTTTTGCCTTTTGAATGGAACAAAAGCTAAATGTGCAAAGTGTGTAAATAAGAAAATGAAAATGTTGCTAGACTGTAAATAACAGGAATGAAAGCACAGACAGTACAAATGCTATTGCTTCCAATTGAATTTCTATAGTATTATTTTGGATATAACCTTAATCTTTCTAGAACAGTGATTTCTGATGAGAAGTTTTACTTTTTTTTTCTCTTTGCAAGTTCAAGTTATTGAGTATTAGCTCTGTATTTAAAGGAGAGGAAACCAGCCCTGCCTACCAAGGACATAAATAGCACAATGCAGTAAAACAAAAAAGTCAGCTTGAGTTAYCACTTTGCATGTCCAAGTCTGCACATTTTCTTGAGGAAATCTGCTTCAGTAAATGCAGTGTGCTCCACTGCAGCTTCTAACCTGGCCTGTTATTGTAGTGTCTGCAGAATACTGCTCTTGCAACTCTCCATTTCTTGGTATTTCCCTTTGAGGTCAAGATTCTGTAAACAGACCCTGATTGCAGCAAAACATAAGAAGCCTTGCTGCTTGAAATGCTGGGTGTGTATATAGCCAAAATGTGCTTTCCATATTGCTGTTCGTTTGGTTGTTTATTGCAAATATTTTGGCAGTGTCCAGTTATTCGTGTACTTATGAGAATAATTTAAATGTGTGAAATGGAGATTGTGGTGTTCACTTGGTACATAATGGGAAATGAATATAATAAAAATGGGTAAACTGAGTCATGAGAAATAGTCGCTTCAACAGGAAATTGATCCAAAGTGGGTTTTAAAATGCAGTGTTTGTTCTTACAGCTGATTCTGTGTCATCATTGCTCTACCTACGTGCATGTGTATATCAACAGTGTGTATATATAGGGGCCTCTTGTTTTATAACTTTTTTATAATACACAATAGTCTCAGACTTTTAGACTGCCGGAGCACCAGCAGAACAGGGCCACGTTCYCTACTCTTTCTTTGCAGTGCAGGTCTGAGGTGTTAGTTCAGCTAAGTTACATGTTCAGAATTCTTATCCTTAGGTAACTTCACTTTAGTTCCAATTTAGAAGTATTTTAATGGTGTTCAAGATGAGGCCTTGTGGAAAGAGATACCTTCTGTGCATTTAGGCCTATGTAATTTTTAAATCATGTTTAAATTAATAGCTATAACTCTTGGAAACTTATTCTGCAACATATATTTACTTGTGCTTCACCTCTGAAGCAGCATTAAGTGCTCAACCAGAAAGTTGCAGCTGGGTGGAATTACATTTAAGATGATAAGGACAAAGGCCCTTTATATCACTGACAACCGCAAGCACTTGGGAAAGAGCCTCTCTTGGTGTAGCTTGGACGGTGTAAGGAAATAAGGTTTCACTTTGCTTGTTCATTGTTTGGAAGCACTGAGAGGGGTTTTAGGACACTGGAGAACAGAATTTAGCAAAGCACCCAATATTGGCCTTTAAAATGTTTCTTAAATTGTTTTTAAAGCATCTGGATCATTGGTTGGTTCATGCAAATTTTGGATTGGTGATTCATCTTGTATTCTCTTTGTTAATGGGAATATTAGATATGTCAGCAATAAAATGGCATATAACATTTTTAGTGTAAAGAAAAAAAGCTTTTTTTAATTCTACATTTTGTGTGTKTGTGTAAAAAGCCATGCCAAGTAACCTTACATCCAGCTATGTGCTATCATGCTTAAAACTTGCACTCTCACACAGCTTTCCTGCCAGCATCTCACATGCTCTAGGTGTGCCTGCTTAAGCAGGAAGGTTGGACTAGATGATCTCTAGAGGTCCCTTCCAACCTTAAATATTCTGTGATTCTTAGAGCTGCCATCCCTCCGTGCCAGCTGTAGCTTATCGGGGAAGCGGAGAGCACAACTGCTGTATTATTTTCCTTAGTTTTCTTTCTTGAACCAAAGCATCTCAGGACTCAGTCTTTATAATTTCCCTGGGACTGACAAAAAAACATGTTTTTAAAGTAACAGAATGCAGACATCACCCTAGTAAGGAATGAGTGACTGTTCATTTAATCTGCAGCACTGAGTAGCTGTTGGGTAGTGTTTCTTTGCATACTGTTCTTGCAGCAGCAAATTACAGGTTGTTTGAGCCATTTCCTGAGAAAGTAGGAAAAAGAGTAAAGAAACCTACACCCTCTGTGGCAGCAGTTGAATATTTTTTAAAGAAGGTTCTGCTTCCTTAATTAAGAAATTTGAAGGTTGATGAATCAGAAGAGATGGACCTGATCTAACAAATGTTTGTTGTTGCAGAGTGCTGAAACGAAGGTGGAAGAAGCAGCCAAGGAGAGTCCCAAAGCAGCCAGATTAACACAGCAGTCTTCAGAAGACAATGAAGTATTCAGTGAGTTATTCAAACAACTGGAAAAACGCTATTTAATCTGTTAATTTCTATTGAACAACTGACTTAAAAGATAATTCGTCTCAAAATCCTTATGATGTATTTAGATTTCACATTGGTGCATGGCATTCATTTATGGGCAGCACAGTTCAAGAGAGATAAGGAAAGATGAAGGCCAGAGACAGGAATCAAAGGTCTGAAGTGTTTCATTTTCATCTTGCAGTTTGTACCATAAAGAAGAGAGGTTGGATGCAGTTCTTCAACAGCAGCAAAAATGTGCACAAGGAAAGGGAAATGAACTCCTCTGTCTGTGAAGGGTAGAACACGTGTTTAAATTGCAGAAGGAGGATATAAATAAATGATGAGAAGGAGTGTTTTGTTTCTAGAAAAAAAAAAAACCCTTGGGATGCATTATTTGTAAGTGTGCAGCTCCATCATTCTGGGCATTTTAAAAATAGGTTATATAGTTTTTATCTAAATTGATATAGTTCATTTTGTGGCTTAACTCTTAGACAAGATCACCTTTGAGGTGACCTAGATTTTAGATTAACCCCTTTCAGTAGTTTTCTGAAAAAATATTTTACAGGTTTTTCTGGTTATTTTATTATTTGACCTAAAAAGTGTATTCAGCTCTTTCTTTGATGTTCAGATCTGAAAAAGTGGGTGAAAACCTTTATCACTCTACCTCTATGTTCATTTTATGTTAGTGTAACTCCACTGGAAAGCAGTAATCTGAAGAGAGGAGAGGACAGACTGAAAGCTGGCCGGTTAATGTAACAGCATTTGGCTTCATTAGATTTTGAAGCAGAGACTTTAGATCTGCGTAAGGCATGTAAGTTTTAAGACCAAATAGCTTAAAAGACTTCAGGATAATTCAGCTAATTGTGAGTACAGTAAGTAGGGATTTTTTTTTTCTTTTCAAGGTATATAAGGAATGGAGTCTGATTTAATTGCCWGTTACTGTAGGTGGAAACAGTGCATGTGACCATTTAAAATTGCAGTGGATAAAATTAGCCTTCCTCTTTGCGTGAAGATAGTGTGATCAGCACGTGAGCCTGAATTCATGGTGTGAATATTTCCAGTACTGGCTCATATCATGACAGTGCCAGCAGAATCCCCCCAAATGAACCGCATTTCAACTTGAGGAATTTAGCAGGGAGGGAAAGGCCAGTCACCGAATTTCCTCTACGTCTGTTCACAAGTCATTTGCAGTAGAGCCAGTACTACCGGTTTATAGAGCTCTGTGGCATTGCAACATGTTTGTCTTGCCCTGTATCCTTTCTAGTTCAGCTCTCATTAGAGCTCTTCCTGAAAGAGCAGCAAAGCCAGAACTCAGCCCACCTCTTTCTACCTGCAGAATCTCAGCTACATAAACAAGCCCTCTGAAGCTGATCTTTAATCATTAGCTGCAGAAAGCAGTGAACTGAATTAGTGATTTATCAAACAGGTAGTCCATATAGGTACTGGGAAGTAATACACTCAAAAAAAAGAAATTAAAAGAAGCAGCAGTATAAAGTTCACTATCAATAGGCTTAAATTCCACTATCCATTGATCCCATACCCTCCTTAATAATTAAAAAAAAAAAAATGAGGTTGATATTCACTGAAGTAAATGTCCTTTAAAGTTAATCATTTACTAACCAACTGCTATAAATTTCCACGTTCTGAATCTGTGAACTGAAGTGCTTATCTGAGATAAGCCAATGATCGACCTTTGCTAACTTGGCACTGCAAGGAGGAAAATTCCTTTCCAGCTCCAAAAATGATGACGGTATAGCATCTAAAATCAACTCTTTCATTCCTTGAAGTGCAGCTGTTTTGGGGGGTTTTTTTTGCTGTTTTTTTTTTTGGGGTGTTTTTTTTTTTTTTTGGTTGTTTGGTTTTTTTTTTGAGTCTGATCAAAACTGGAAAGGAAATACATTATAAATGCAGTCTGTCTTCACTCTGCTGGGGAAGTTGGTGCCAAATCCTTGACAGTGAGAGGCTCCTTGACAGTCAGGGAGGAAATTTTAGCAGAGACCAGACTTTATGCTCTGAGATTTGCCCCATAGTATCCATGCTCTTCCCCRTGCCTCTTGGCAGTATCTTAGAGGTTCAGATCCGTCTTGCAGGGAGAGCTGTGCATTCCACTTCATAAATGATGGAATGATCAAAAGCTGAAAGCCTCTTTCCCCAGGTGAGGTATTTGTTAAACTGAGGTTTAAATGRTTAGATTACAGATGCAGCACAGTTATTTTTCCCTGTGGTCTGAACTCTTGAAAAGGTGTCTAGAAGTAAACACCTGTAAAGGTGTCTTACATTTCTCCCTCCTTCTCCCTGGTGATGTTGGTTATAACAAGCACCGAGTGGGCACCAGGAGCTGGCAAATTTATCGCTTCAGCTTTGACCAGAATCCAACGTCGGAAGATCTGCAGCAGTCTCCAGTGAGCGGGTGCAGCACCGGGCTCCYGTTTTCTCATCCACTGTGCTCTTCCCTGCCTTAATTCCTATTTTCCCACAAACRCGGCTCTCTCAGGGCACTGCCACCCCCTGCAGAAGGGTTAAGCGCAGCAAGCCAAGCASCTCCAGCCAGGAGCCTTCCCAGTGCTGGTTGCTCTCTTGCTCTCCTCGCTTGGCGCTGCAGGCCCRGGATGCTCCGGACCCGAAGCCACCAGTTGTCCCTCTTGGCCAGGCCACCCGGTGGCAGCAGCCGCCTGCCCCTCGCAGCCCCCAAAGCGCCTGGGCTCCTGGGAGCTGCTGCTTGTGGAAACCTCTGTCTTGCTGTGCGCTCTCCAAGGCTAGGATCATCTCAGAGCAGGCAGCGATAGGWTTTATCTGGAAGAGGGAACTCTCCGCACCGCTGATAGTGTGAAACATGCGCAGCTGCACAGGGAGTATTTGGAGGAGCTGTGTTGTTTGAATGGTTAAATGCCGCTCTTGGAAGCATTTATGCAGCGCTCGCCAAGCTTGCCCCAAGTGCACACCCGAGTGCTGTGACTAATTGAAYGTGTTCTGGTGATAAAGAGCAAAGCGGAGCTGTTTCGAGGTTCCTAGAGCCGTTAGTGCTCTTTGCAAATCTGAGTTTAAGGATCAGCGCTCTGCTGGGGAGAGCCCTATGCGTGAACGCAGGCACCTGCCCATTTTCTACTCCTTGAAGAGACTGTTGGGAAGGAACATTGTGGAGGCTTTTCTTGCCTTCTTCCTTTAATATTAATTTTTGTACTGGAGTGGGGCTGGAAGGGCCGCGTTGGCAATGTGGGGCCACGCGGTGCCAGGCGCTYGGCAAAGACACAGGTGCGTCCTGCGTTTGAGAGAGCTGATTGTCAAAGGCCRTGAATTCCCTATGCTGAAGGACAGAGTGACGACAGGACAGGAGAGACCAGGGAATCTAGCCTGTGCACTTGTATTATGGGCAGCTCAGAAATTCTGAATTAACAAGGGTTATCTTCTGAAAGCTTTTCTCTTGCTACGCCCAGGTGACTGCTGTTGTCTGCTCTATACTGAATGTATGTGTGGCGAAGAACTAGAACGTCCTGCTTGCCACAGGCTGCTGCTCAGTGTGCACACAATTGACATCTTGTCCATGGGTTTATCAATATGTARTCATAAAAGGATCAAGTACGAGACAAAATCAGTGGGCCACAATGACCATCRTTTTGGTTGAGAGTTGGACCTACGTTTCGTATGATCCCATATTCCATTCACAGTGATGAAGCAGGTTTTTATAGATTTTTTTTCTATTAGCCTGAACTAACATAAAATTACAAGTAAGGAAAATTTGGAGATTTAATGCATATCAAGTATATTCTCACAAAGCAATAGATATTCATCTCTTACGAGTTAGCAAGTGGTTGTATAGACTGTGGTTGCAAGGTGGGAATGTATATAATTATGTACAAGATTTGCATGTATTTCACTTCTATTTTTTTAAATTCTCTTTTGCCCTTAAACAAAAAGGGCAGAATGCAAAAGGATGAGCGGGAAGGAATTTAGAAGCTCCCTTGCTGCACAGTCTGTTCATGCAAAGCTGGGGTGGTGATGGTACAAAATGGCTAAAAGCTGAGGGTTACTGTCGTTCAGTGACCTTCTTACTGGGAAACATCTCCTCTCATTCTAAACATGATCAATAGTGGGACAGAAACTATGGCTTTAATGCAAAATAATGGCAAGCTGGCACAAAAAAATCAATCCGGTGAGACAGCTGATTATCTTAAAATAGATGTTATTACCACAGTGCAATTATTCTCTCTTGCATGAGAGGGAAATAGGGCAATTTAGTCTTCTATAATTTTTCATTATGGGCTAAGCAGTGAATTTGGTGTTCCAATTGTCCACACATTTCTACTTTCCTTSCCCTGCTTTTTTCCTTCCCTGCTTTGTTCTTACACTTTATGAAAGCTGTTGTCGTGACTGAAGTTTGGCTTACCTGCTTCAGGAAGAGGGGTGAAATTTCATTCTTATAAGAGCTCATGTATCATAAAATGCTCTGTRCACACTGGGAGCCTTGCTCAATTTTCGTATGGCCAAGAGAAGCCAAGGACTGGATAACTCTTATAGCAGAAGGAGACTCACAGGATTTCAGGGATAGCAGTTGGTTGGTTGTATTTTTATTAGTTCAGGGTTTGAGGCTTTTWATGAAGTACAGCAATTTGCATGTTTGTTGTTAATTTAGTGATTCATTTGGTTATGGCTCATTTGATGACTGCCCAATTTCAGGGAGGCTGCCTGCGCAGTGTGCGGTAGACCGCACAACTAATGGGCTGGTGCTTTGTGTTGGTTTGGTTTATTTTTGCTGGCTTGTTTTTAATAGCAGTCTGACTTCTTTTTCTGGAAGCTTTTTGATGCTTTAATGATAGTGGTAGCTTTTGGACATATAACTGGTTAATATGGCAGCGCACTCAGTGCAGTTCTTCGGCGTTTAAACACAGGCGCTGAATTTTAGCAGGGTGCAGATTGTTGCCACAAAATTAGTGCTCAAGCGCTAGRAGCACTTTAGCAAGTTGGATCTCGTAACATTTTTATTT